GTAAACTAATAAAAATGATCTGACACACAGTATGAATTTGTCATGGTTATTAAGTTAATACATATGTACTGAAAAACAGAATAGGTCATGTGTAACATTACAGAGATTAATGAGATGTTTTTGACCCGTTATGTGATGGTGCTTTGCTTGCTTGCTTTGTTACCTGAGATTGCTAGGTGTTGTCTAGGAGTCTTGGCAATACATATTTTTTTAAGATATGCAAAATTAGCACTGGCCTCCTCTGCCCTGCTCCAGGCTTCTTCAACCGCCACATTCTCCATTCACTCTTCTTACTCTGTCTCTCCGGGGCAAGTCAGCACGCATCTTTTTTTTAAACAGTCACAGAGCTGCTGGGAGTATGGAGGAAGGAATGGAGACTGACGATTTCACAATCAGTCAGCTTACTGAATTGGCTCCTCAAGGAATGGCTGCTGGGATCTGGTGAAGGATCCAGAGGTGAACGAGACAGATCATGGGGGACAGCCTTGCCGTCAGTTTTTCATCTGTGGGGTTTGGGGATTGGAAAAAGCGATATCTAGGGAGTAGATGAGACTCTCCATTTGGGGAGGAAAAAAGAAGAGGAGGAAGAAAGAGGTGCCGTGTGTCAGGCAGTTCCCCACAGCCCCTTAACAGATGAAGAAATTAGGCTTAGGGACGTGCCACCCGTCCAAAGTCACACGGCTAGGATGAGATGGGGCTAGGGTTTAAACCCAGGGCTGTTTGTCTCCAAAGGCTTTTTGCTTTGCACACACTCTACTACACTCTAATTTGTTAGCTATAATTAGAAAATTTTTCCTTAGACAAAGCCAAAATGAAACCCAGGAGTGAGATGGTGATGGCAGCAGCCTGTGCCCTTTCTTCACCTTCCCACAACTGTGAGATGAAGGTAAGAGAAAAGCTGGTTGTGGGTTTGAGATCCACATCTGGGGACAAGGGTAGGGAGGGAGCAGAGCTGAGCCCAGGTAAAACTGTGAAATGGACAGTGTCTTCACTCTTCCTCCCTTCCCTCCTCAGAGAGCCTCCTCCTCCTCTGCCACCAAGGGGACCCCACCCAATGCCTGGGCCATCATCTAGACTTCTCAGCACTGTGCTTGGTTACAGCTGCCCCACTTAAGGTTCCTCGGTGTCATCCTCAGTACTAGCTGGGTGGTCTCAGGCCACTGCCCCCTCTCAGGGTCTCTGAGCTTGGAGCCCATGGACTTTCGACTATAACATCCCAAGAACATGAGTCTAAAATGGGGTTATCTGAAGATGGGGACAGAATCAAAGAAAGAACCCTTTGGTTTCTCCTGATCTCCTGAGCTGTGGATAGAGGTTTGTACTTTAAATAGAGGGCCATGCTTCAAACCACTGTTTCCAGTCATTTTGGATGGTATATGGACAACTGGCCCCCATTGTCAATGCCAGCAGGTGGAAGTTATATAAATGAAAACTTGAAATACTTATTAGCACAGGTGGTAAGTGGATATGGCAGGAGTAGGGAGGGTGGAACCTGAATGAATGAAACTGGGAAACATGACCTTGAGCAAACAAACGAATCTCCAGCAGGATGATTCCCCCTGGAGACCGCTCTAGTGGAGGTGACATTTTGACATTTGTCCTGAATCCAGGACACCGGGAGGCAGGCACTGTGAAGGTATACATTTTTTTCCCTCTTGCAGAAACATGGTAATTACTGTGTAATTAGGCCTAAGAAAAGGTGTACTCTCTGATATTTTGCTGAGAGACCTGCCCCTGAAACCCTGCTACCAGGCATGTTATTTTCCTGTCCGAGCCTCAGGTTACTGGGGGCTAATGTACACTGGGGCTAATGATGCCTACCTTGAGGACTGTGGTAAGGATGAGACTAGGTGTGAGATAATAGAAAATATACATATTGGTCTCTGCCCTGGTTCCTGACACAGGGCTCCTGAAACCTTGTGATTTCCTGGGTGATGGGAATGTCTTTTGTTCTAATGGGGCAACTCTTTGTGGGCTCCTGGATGAAGGCTGGTCACCAGAAAGGCCAAATCATGATTAGAAGCTTGGAATTTTCACACACACACACACACACACACACACACATACACACACTCACCCATTCTCTTGAGAAAGAAGGACTGAAAATGGAGTTAATGATCAATCACGCCTACGTGATGAAGCTTCCATAAAATCCCAAAAAATATGGGGTTCGGGGAGCTTCCGACTTGGTGAACACATGGAGGTACTTGGAGAGTGGGGCACCTGGAGAGGGCATGGAAGCTCTGCGCCCTGTCTCACATACTTTGCC